CTCCTGTCCCCAGCTCTGGCTCTACTCCTGGCCCCAGTGCTGGCTCTGCTCCTGGCCCCAGCTCTGGCTCTGCTCCCGAATCTGGCTCTGGTCCAGGTCTTACCCCTGGAGCAAATGCAGAACCCGGCCCTGCCCCTGAGCCCGGATCCTGCCCTTCTGAAAAGCTCATCCACCTGGAGGTAGATATTCCTCCTATATGCACCACCTGGGTCCAACAATACTACGAGCAACCTCAGAAACAACCACCCTGGGAATCTTTGCAAGTTACAGAACCTGGAGTGAGAGGACCACAGGATCCCAGGCATGTGACAGGAAAGTCTACGCTTCTCCATAAAACACTGCCAAGGGGCAGGTGTCTTCTTTACAACTGGGAAGAAGAGGTATTACCATTGTGGCCTGCCTCCTTTCTTGAAGGGTAACTCTTAAATGTCCTAGAGGAGCTAATTGTGATGAGGGTGGGTACCAGAAGGAAATTAAGAGTCACTTGGCTTGGGGTCCACAGAGAGCCACTGATCACCTGGATCAAGTCCCATGCTCCCAGGATGGCTCTGAGAGCTTCTTCTTCCGACATGGACACCAGGGACTTCTGACCATGCATCTACAATCACCCATGTCCTCCAGCACCACCCAGAGGGATTCATACCAGCCCCCAGGAAAACCATGCCAGCCACTTCGAGGTGTGACACTTCAGAGGGTCAGAATGAATCCATTAGGCATAGAAAAAAAGAGAAAGGAATTTTTCATGGGTTTGTGGATTGTTTGATAGCTATAAGAGCAAAACCCCAAGATACTACTTCCTTTTCCCAACTTTGTTTCTTCTGGGCCTGCTGCTTAATCAGACTTCCACTCTGCCCTCCCACAGGGAATCGTGCAGCCATGCTGGAGATGTACTTGTACCACCAAATCTGGTGAGAAACTGGGAAAGGGAATGGGAGGGGAAGGAGGAAAACCGTGGAGATGGTCTTGACATCTCTAGGGCTGCACAGTAACGAGCTTGAGGCAGAACAGGAACCCAAGAGGAAGCTCTTTGAGGTCGAGTCAGTAACACGCCATGACTATGGAGTGAAGCTTGCCCCAGCAAGGCCTCCTGCCCCAACAAAGGTGAGAACCTATCCCACCCCACTTTCACAGCTATGCTCTGACAGTCATTAGAGAAACAGCAGGCCCAGAAGTTGAGAAAAAGAGCTGAGGGCCAGGAGTTATTCACTATCTCTTCTTCGCAGGCTCATGACTACCGCAAGGAGCAGCCTGAAACCTTCTGGTTACAGATGGCATCAAAGATTCCGGTATGTGAGGGTGACGAGATGTTGGGGGGGGGTGAGAAGGTACAGGGAAGAGGCTGTTCCAGCTTGGTGGAGGGTGAGATCTTTCCTTATCCTGACACTCCTCCAGGGTGTCAGTAACATCAGGACAGTGGACACACCATTCTGGAAGAACTGCAGCTTCTCAACACCATTGCCGTTGTGTCTGGGAGATCCTTTGCCATGTGAACCTGAAAGTTATCCCCAGAAGTTGGGAACAGTGTCTTCCCTTGCCTGTCAGGGAAGCGAGTTGGAGTGTCAAAGTAGGAAAACAACTCCTCCCTAAAGGTTGAAGAAGGAAATTAATATAGAATTTGGAATCTGTTTGTACTAAAGAGTTTGCTGGAGAAGAAGCTGACTCTATATACTTACATAAAGGGTCCTCTCTCATCCTGAATATGCTAATTGATTGATTCTGTGAGTTACTAGATCTATACCCAGTATTCTTTCCTCAGTTATCTCCACCCCACACGATGATACCATGTGTTGTTGTTGTTGTGTTGTTTTATACTTGGCCAAAATATTCTGGTCTACATACAGATATTTACAGAAGGTAGAGAAGAAGGGGACCAAGCCAGAGAGGGGCTGGTATATGTACAAGGCTGAGCTACAGAGAGATACAATCTCCATATAAGGTGGAATTTTTGTGCACGTTTTCCATCCCATGTGACAAAGTCTGTTTCTGATATATGAAGAGATGATGGCCACTGCCCACCCAAGTACCAGCAGCAAGAAGTGGGAAGAAGTGGGATTTACAGGAGTCCAGGAGGTCCTTTCTGCTCTCCTAGGAGCCAATAAGTTCGCATCTTTCCTTTTCCCTGGAATTAAGGGAGTGGACACAGTTCAGGTTCTTCTCTATCCAGCCCATCATCTCCCTCTCTTACCCAGTGATCCCCATAATCACTTTCATCCTCCTTTTCCATGACCTCCTCCCCAAGGCCTGCCATTACCTTCATCTCCACATCCCCCCGAAGCTCTAGCTGGAAGCATCCTAACTCATCCAGAGCATCTTTGGTGGTAGAGGAGACGTGGATCTTCAGAGCTGGGGTGACATGGGAGACAGGAAGCAGAGTCAAGAAGTGACATTACTCAAGAGTACTTTCCTCAACACCCACCTCTCAAGAGGCTCCCCATCCTGATACACATTCACAGGACAAAAATATGCCCATGGATGGGACACGTAGGAACTGTAGTCTCCCAGATTGAGACTTGGAGGAACTCTGAAGCAAGATAGATCCAAGCCCAGGTGGGAGGTTGAAAGCTAATATCTCACCTTGACCATTAGACTCCATTCGAGAAGCAGTGTTTACAGTGTCTCCAAAAAGACAGTAACGGGGCATCTTCAGACCAACAACACCTGCACAGACTGGTCCTATGAAAGGAAATAGGTTGGGAGAGCCCAGGAAAGGTGGAGCCTACGACTAAGTGAGAGTCAGCCTTACCTGTGTGAACACCTATACGAAGCCTCAGCTGGTCATGGGGTCGGTGGCGGATACGGAAAGAAGAGACTGCATCTAGCAATGCTAGGGCCATCCGAGCAATTTCTGGTGCATGACGTTGACCATTTCGCCCTGGGAGGCCAGAAACCACCATGTAGGCATCCCCAATTGTCTCCACCTGATTTAAAGGGAGGAGTGTTCAAAGGTCATCTCTAGCTGTATCCATAGGAATAAGAAAGAATACAGAGAAACAAGCTAGACTCCACCAGCAATTATACTGATAGCCATGTTCTAGGAATTTGAAATAAGGAGAAGTCAAGGGAATCTTTAAACATCTGCCCAATTCCTGTATTCAGTAAACACTTACTGAATGTGGGGATATCCTACCTGTTCACAGGACATGGACAAATAGGTTCTACTGTCAGGAAATGAAAAGTAAGAAAACAGGCCAAACCAAGGGGCACAGAGGCTGGTGAGTAGGTAAAGCAAACCCAATGAAATGAGCCAGACAGCTCCAACTGTTAGAAGTGACAAATCAAGCACCTGATTTTTTTTTTCTTTTTTGGTCGGCCGTGGGGCTTGAACTCTGGGCCTGGGCACTGTCCCTCAGCTCTTCAGGTCAAGGCGAGCGCTCTACTACTTGAGCTACAGCGCCACTTCCGGTTTTCTGGTGGTTTATTGGAGATAGGAGTGTCACAGTCTCTCCTGCCCGGCTGGCTTTGAACCGAGATCCTCAGATCTCAGCCTCCTGAGTAGCTAGGATTACAGGCGTGAGCCACCAGCGCCCAGCTGCATCTGATATTTTTAACTATACCAAAACAATGTAAGAGAAAGGTCCTTGATTTTATGAAATACATGGCAAAATTTTTTTGGATATACACACCATGTATTGGGGAGTAAATGATAAAAATATGGGGCTGAGAAGGTGGCTCAGTGGTAGAACGCTTGCCTTGCATGCCTGAGGCCCTGGGTTCGATTCCTCAGCACCACATAAGCAAAAAGAAAAAAGCCGGAAGTGGCGCTGTGGCTCAAGTGGTAGAGT